CGACCGGCGCGCTGCGTATCGAGAGCGGCGGCGGCGGAAGGGAAGAGCGGCGCCTCCCCCTCCCTCCCTGCGCGCCACGCGCCGCCGCGCCCCCCTATATATACGCCTCGCGGAAAAAGGATCTGCCACTCAAGGGGCATCAGGTTCGGGGCGGGCGCCGGCGCCGCCACGACCCGCTATTGACGTGATGAAACTAAGCAAGGACGAACGACTACAAAATGGAAGACGAAGACGAAGACGACGAGTCTCGCTCCGCCCGAGCGAGGCGCGCCGCGTTCGTAAAGGTTAGTCTGGCTTCGGTGCGGGGCGACCAATTAGGTGCATCAGGGGCGACACAACAGACGTGTGATTGCAGGAGCCGGGCTCCGAGGAGGCGGCGCGGCGGAACCCTTTGACTTGACGCCCGAGGTCACCCGAGGATACCCCGTCGTATTCACGGCCAGAGGATACGGCACGTGGATGGTTTAAGGTTCCCCTGGTTTGCGAATGCAGAATTATCCATAACACAAGTCGACAGCAGTAAGTCAGTTTTTAAAGTTAGGATGGATGGTTGACGAAAAATGTGAATGCCTTCAAACAAAATAGGAGATTTTTCTTTATCAAACCTGTTTGCTTAGTTTGTAAACAGGAAAAAGCATTTACTTTCATTAAGCTTGAAAACTTAAACACGAGGGTGACAAAAAACACGAAAGCAGGAACCCTGAGGCATACAATCAAGTTGGGCGCGCGTGTCAGTGCCAGCCTCCCCCCACCTCGCACGTGTAAACAGCATGGGGCGCAGCCTGAGTCAAGCGGCACCACTTGGTGTACTTCCGCTAGTTCGTTCCGTTGTTTGACATTCCCACCATAAAAAGGAAGAAAAAACAAAAAACAAAAAAACAGTAAAAGCCAGCTTCTGTTTGCCTTTGTTATGCGTCGTAGGCCGGCTGTGCCACGCCGCCCGCCACCCGCCCCCAGGCGGACGGCAAATTCGTTAACTCATGCGCCTGCGCTTTTTTTTTCTTTCCTTTTTTTTTTATTCAACAGTAGAAGGCAATTCTCCTTGTGCTGAGTCGCCTGCATTCTAAATACCCCCGGCCACGAGCTGCCGCGCCGCCGCCGTTGGGGCTGCGAGCGTCGTGCGGCGCGGCACCCGCGGCGGCCTCGGCGTGGACAAGGCCTCCTGATCACACCGCCGGCTTTTGCTTACATTTTCTCCCCTTCTCCGTCTCCTCGGGGCCGCCGGGAGAGCCCGGGAGGGCGCAATGCGGTGTAGCTAGTCCCCTGTGCCGCGCGCGCGCCCGGGGCCCCGAGGCGCCCGGGAGGTATGCAACCCGCAATTTACGATGTACTGCGGGAGTGCCTATGCAAACGTTGCAGGCGCTCGCCCGCTGCTGCCGCGCAGCCGCCGGCACCTTTACACCTGCGCGTTGTCAGGCAGCCATGTGCTTATTTGGCATTCAGTCCTGAGACTTTCACAGCTTAACCTTAACGTGTTGTGTGCGGCGTATCGGTGCCTATTTTTATTCTGAACCGGGTATACTCTTTTTTTTTTTTGTTTTTTTAAAGGGAGAGTTGTGCGAGAAAAGCGAGAAAGAGCAATAATAGCAAAAAGAAACAAAGGAGGTGGCAGACACACTCAAGGCTGGTTTAAAAAAGCTTGGAGACCGCCGCCGGGCAGCGCGGCGTAAATCTGCGTTACACCGCCTTGCCGAATTATTCACATTTTTACACATTTCCACCCGACAGCGCGGGTATTTTCATTGGCGTGTTTGGCCAGGAGCGGTCGGCCCGTTTAAATTTTTGGCGCGCAGTATTTTCCCAGCACCTTCACGCACACACGCGTGCAGCCCTGCGCCGCCAACCTGCCCTTGTGTGCCAGTTACAATATTTATCTTTCCCGTCGGGCACCTGCTGCATTTGCAAGACAAGATTGATTATGAGGAAAGAGTACGAGCCGTGAGCTCTGAGACCGATACAGCTATTTACCACGTAAAAAGAGCCTGCTCCAAGAATCGCAGGTGCCAAAAGATCTCACCGAATCACCGAATAAACCTAACAAACCAGATGTACTTTGTGAACGATCCCTACAAAGAGCAGCTGCTGTTCCAAGTTACAGTGTTCAACTCCTTTCGGTGTCAGCGTCACAGAACTTACACCTCCTGATCGGCTTTGATTCGCGCGGTATGAGTATTTCATGGTAGCATAATACCGCACATTCACTCGCGACCTGCACTAGCACGATGAACTTGGGTGTTTTGTTATGTATTACAGTGGATTCTGAGATGAATAGAGGTGCGATGCGTGCGGGGGCCATGCACTGACACTCTTGAAAGGAACTCTAATATTTATTTCACAAACAAACACAACTGACATTATGGGGTTCTAAAGCGCACGAATTTCAACCGCATTCCATCAAAAGCTCAAAGCTGAAATTCAGTTTGCTAAAACTCACCCTCATTCTCAAATCGAAATTCAAAACAATATGCCCCGAAGTTGTAGCCTATTCCCCCCGTATACACACCACTCCTCACCGCAGCCCGCGCCCCGGCGCCCCCCGCGTGCCACCGAGCGAAACCATGCCCGTGATATATGTAAAGTCTTATCCGCCAGGTTTACTGCGAGGCGCATGTTGGCGACAGATGGCGCGGTGGGGCGTAACTCAGGCGCGCCTCACAATTCGGACCAGATATTTGACGCGCCGGGTAGAGACGGCTGCAGCCGCGGCGCATCTCCGGGGCCCGCATTTTGGTTTTATTCGCTTTTGTTTCGGTCCGCGGCGGCGCAGCAGCGTCACCAGACGGCGGAGAAGAATGGGCTGCGCGAGACGAGCGAGCGACAGACAAAGGAGCGATGAAACGGGAACCGGAACCGGATGTCGAAGCAGGGTGCATGTGCCGCCGGAAGGGGCGGGGAGCGCGGGGGCGCGGGGGCGAGGAGATGCAGGGGAAAGGGAAGGGGAAAATGAGAAGAGAACGCCGGCCAAATGGCCTGTGAGGCGACCATGGCCGCCGGACAAGACGTGCGGCGAGAAGGGCGGGGCAGGGAGTGGCGGGCGCACAGACGGACGGAAGACATCCGTCAGCGTGCGCCCCGGGCCAGGCTGCCGCCCGGGACCAGAGCGACTCCCCCGCCGGGGGGCAACCTCATTCTGAAAATGGATAATTGGATACCTTAGAGGTAAACGGGCACGAGGAGAGACGGCTTTGGGGACCAAGTCAATGCTTCGTTTGGGCCCCGTCTGCGCGTTGGACGCATTTTATTTCGGAAATGAGGGGTGGAAAACACGCGCAGCCTTTTTATTTGACTGCAGCTAACCCAGATTTCCTCTCCGGCAGCAGAGAAACCTAGGAGGAAGATCCGCCCGTTCTCGCAGTCCACAGATAGATAACTCGCCGTATACTTCCTCCCTGCTTCTCGGAACTAGCGACACTACTTCCTGTTCCAGCCGACAGCGTGATTGGGCGCCATATCCCCCCCTCCCCCCGCAACTACTGTCGCCCTTCCCCCCTCGTGGGCCCAGCAGCACTACAGTGGTGACGCAGGCTGCGGTTTGCCCTTTAACCTCGGCCTTGCGGTCCCAACACCCTCAGTGCATCCCGTTCATTTGGGGGGCGGCGGCGCCTCCTCGATATTCCCCGGGGCCCCATCACCCCCCGCTCATCACGCCAACCTACTGTCTACCCCCCCCCTCCC